CCCCAAAACCCCAAAACCCCAAAACCCCAAAACCCCTTTTAATTGTGGAATGATTGAATTAAAATCCAAACTTAACTTTGTTCTTGCGTGAATACTTAACTCATGAACTGAACTGCTTATGTTCTATTTCATTGAACTCTGAGATTTGTAAGATCGCACCAAAGTTGCTATGAGCTTCTCTGAAGTTCGCTGCTGAGAAGACGGTCGTTCAAAGCCCACCAAAGTGGGCTTTGAAGCCGTCTTCTTGTAGGCTATGACTTCGGACAATAGCACTGAAGGAATGGACATTGAGGAAGGTAGTAAGGGCTTTCATGCCGAAGTGGGTGCCGTATGAGATTTCATTAGGTGAGAAGGAAGAGATTTTAGGAGATGGAGAGGAGAAGCACATGTCTAGAGGGTGAGGATGGGATTTACTGAGGAGAAGAGGGTTATCTGTACCGTCTACGACACGAGGGATGCTTGAGAGAGTCTCAAGGCCGTCTTTTTGGAGGAGTCTATGGATGATAGGGAGCTTACTCTGGGATTATACCGCCGTGCGTGCAGAATATTGAATCGTTGATGATAGCTGCAGCTGAGAGGTATTGGAATGATTTTGCAAAGGCTTTCCATACACGGACTCAATACCGTTTCTTTCATTCATAGAAAAAGCCACAAATGCGATTTACACTTTTGAATTCATGGTTCCCTCTCAGGAGATAAATCGCTTTAGGATATTTTATCTTATATGCATATAGCAAGCAAATTACTTCAATTCCTCTGTAACCATGATCTACATAATTCCCTAGAAATAAATAGGTAGTAGACGGAGGTAATCCTCCATATTCAAATATTCTGAGAAGGTCTCCTATTTTTGCAAAAATATCTCCTACAACAGTGACAGGTCCATCGATTTCGATTATGTTAGGATCTTCAAGGACTAATTCTCTTATAGTTGGAGTTTGATCTTCCTCTTGTCGGATCAATGCTAGGACATACCTAATCAATGTAAAATTACTAGTTCAAATGTTAAAATCTGACAAATATTTCTTACATTATTTCTTCATCAGTCAAAATATTCTTTGTTGACTTATTACCTCTGTAGTATGAAGACTCAGACTTACTCCTTGCCGAGGCCACTACAGTTAGTCCATATTTTCTGAATAATTTGATCAATTGTAATATGTTCTGCTAAGTGATCTGTAGACTCCATTTTCAATTATTATGCAAGAAAAGGGGTTTTGGGGTTTTGGGGTTTTGGGG